CTCGATTTCCGGCACACAGGGACAGCTCACTGCTGTGCCTCCAGAATTTCCTTTTTGAGTAGTAACCATCCCTCCTGCGCCCCCTTACCCTTGAGAGCTGATCTTGTTGCATCAAGTTTGAAAGGTGTTTTTATATTAGATAACAAGAAGGATAGTTACTAAATACTTAAGTGTGTGTATTTTTTTTTTTTTATTCCTCTGCTCCCCTCCAGAAACAGACATGTTCTTTCTAGCTATCAGTATGGTAGGAACAGACTTCTCCTTGATTGGACGGCTGTTTCCTCATAGAGCCAGAGCAGAAATTAAGGTAAAAATCAAAGCACTCAATAAAGCAATTAAGCATGTTTTCACTTTTTTATTTCTCTTTTGCTATCCCTATGCTTCCTCTGTTAGTATTGATAATTTTGATGCTAATTGGCTCTGTAGCAATGCTTTTTTTAATACCTATTTCCGAGAGGCAGTAAGTGTCCGAAATATTAGTACGTTGGGTTGAATTCCGATCAACAAGTAAAGGTAGCATGCCTAGATGCAGTTTGTCTCAATTTTGTTTTGACTGAAGAATGCTGATAAGTGTCAGTGAATGTTCAGTGAGGGTCTTCTGTGTTGCCTCTTTCACGGTATCTATCAGGGAAAATCTTTGATATTTTAAACCCTGCTTAGATTGGAAGTAAGGACAAAGATGTTAAAAATAATAAAAATTATGAGTGGTAATATCTATTGATGACAGATTGTATATATTTAAAAATTAATTACAGACTTGTGTTCTGTGAGTGTGCTTGTAAGTTTTAACAACTTAAGTTGGCAGAAAACTTTCATTGAAGACAGCTTATCTTGATCTGCCATTTCATACAATATATTGTAGTATTTCTTGCTTACTGAAAAAGACAAATATACCTTTACTTTTAGAACAAGTTCAAACGCGAGGAAAAAGCTAATGGATGGAGGATAGACAAAGCTTTCAGTAAGTAAAGTAAATGTACCCCATCCTACAATGAGTCATTAAATGGTAGTCATCTTTTTTCCTGGTAATCTTTGTGCTTTGCTTTTCTTGAACTAGTTGTAAGAAAAAATTTTTCCCTATAGGTGAGCTCAGAAACTGGGGAATCTTGGGTTTTTGTAACTAGTGTGGTTCACAGTAAAGATATTTAGGTTTGATTTCTGGCTTTTCTACTTTGAGAATCCTTAAAGGCTTTGTGTGTTATTTGAATGAGCTACATAAGTCCTAGAGCAACATGTTAATACACTGTGGTACAATTCATGTATTTGTCACTACTTGCATTTTCTAAACTACTAAGTACTGTAAACTTTGTACTATTTGTTTTTTAAAACCAAGCTACCATTATCCGTATGTATGTCAACTCTAGTCCTTGCTCAAGTGAAACAGAATGTATTGTCAAAATAGATTCTTTGTTTAAATTTTTATAGACTTTGATTGTTAGTATCATAACATGTACCACTGATTATTTTACAAAGCAGAAACTTGGAAAATTACCAACTTTGAAACCTTTTCTACTTCTTTGCTTTAATCTGACAGAAGAAAAGCGGCCCTTTGATTTTGAATTCTTTGCCCAGCTGCTTGAGAAGGTGTTGGCAGATGAGGAAAAGAGGAAGCAGAAGACTGTTAAAAGTCAGAAGCCAAAGGAAAAGAAGCCATCAAGGCCTCGGAAGAAGCCAAAAGGTACTTCAAAAGAATACTTGAGATAGCATTACAGAGCAGTGGTCAGTAATGTGTTGCTAGCAGAGGAAAAATCACATTAGAAATCCTTCCCTTTCCTGTTCCGGACAGGGCGAGAAGATCCTGGCTTCATAGCATAACTTTTTGAGATGTAGTTTACTGATGTGCAAGATGGTAATAATTGGTAGCAGCTGGCTTCCTGCAGTGCGTTTTCTCTGGGCAGCAATGTGAGAGACAATGAGATTAGTGCTTTTCCACAGTCTGAAGCACTGATACGCCAAATGGGATATTCTAATTTAGCAGTTGATAAGTATCTCCATGAGTTGCTAACAAATTCACTTTTAGAATCCTTGGGCCAAACCCTATTTTTTGCAAGCTCTTCTGTGAGTTTTAGTTTAAATTTTTCTTACAATTTAAGCCCTTTTCTTTTAAAGGTTCTGTTTCTCCTTCCGTTATAGTTTGATTACCTAAGTCTGAAAGGTGTGGTTTGTTTCAGGGAGTCTTGTAAAAGCGTTTTTAATTTTCTGGTCTGTTGAAAATAAAGGATAAAAATTATGTTTAATTACCATTGATCACCATATAGTGTCTTATTACCACAGTACCTGTGAAAAGACCTTTCACAGATGTGCTTAAATTAAAAATAGTTATACTGACACCATATCATAAATTCCTTGCTAATTCTGTGGCGTTGTTCACTTGTTTGTTCCACAAGGACTCATTTTCTTCTAAGTGATATTGCGGAACAAACAAGTGAACAACCTTTTTAAAGGGGATACTAGCTAGGAAGCAGCATTGCTTCTTTAAGTCTTAAAATTGACATAGTTGCTGCTTTTCTATAGGCTTGATTTCAGATTTGATTAAGTAAAATTTCCCATATATTAGGACTTACAGCCACATATAGAAATTCTGTTTGTAGACTCTAACGGTAAAGGTACTTTATATGTAAAGCAATACGAGTATGCTTTTCTAATTCTCCTGCATTTTGGATTTTTTGGTTATAGGGGAACAAGTTTGTATAAGAATAGTAAAAAGGACAAGGAAAGGTTCTTGGTGGTTGATGTTCTGCATAATTACAAAATCGAGACAAAATATCCTGAAAAGGGTAGGAAGGAGAATTTTAGAAACCCGTTAAACCCAGAAAAGAACTTGTGAATTATTACCTAGATAATAATTCAGCTTGTTTTATGTAAATAAGAATGATTAACTACAATACATTTATTGATCAAAATTACTTTTTCATGGCATACTTTCTGCAGCCATCATCATCTCTTTCTGCAGAGATATGATAATTCTTTTCAGGATTAGCAGTGCTTATTTTTCCTGGATCCAAAAGCAACTGTGTAGCCTGCTAAAAAGTATAGGAACAAGAACATTTACTACATTGGCTTTACATGCCATATGAACTTTACTTTACCCTAGTGAAGCGTTGTCCCGTTTACAGAATGTGTTTTGCACTTTAGTGTAGAATTTAATCTATGCTGAAGCTTTCCTGTGAAGTCAGTGACTGACTTCTCCTGGTCTTGCCCATATGCCTGGCAGTATATTGGCAGGGATGTATGAATTCACAAGACATTGCTAGTGGAAATATCTTTGTGATATACGGCTCCACCAGACTGTTAACCAGGGACCATATTGTCTCAATAGCAAAAGCTGCCAGCACAGAAGCTGCTAATGATCAAGATGATCTTCAGGAAGCCAGAATTTCTGATGCAGAAACAGAAGCAGATGCTGTGACGGCTGAGAAAGAAAATGAGGAATCTTTGGGCATTTCTGAACAGGCAGAAGAACTGGTTGCATTAGAGCCAGCGTTAGCAAAAAAAAAGAGAAAGAAGAAGAGAAAAGATGATCTTGAGCAACAAGTGGAGAATCTTCCAGAAGAAAAGGCTGTCCCTTCAAAAACTGCTGAAGAAGGGAAGTCCTCTAAGAAAAGTAAGAAGCAAAAATGCTTGCTTTCAAATGTTCAAATATAAATTTTATATCAAGACGTTGCAAGCTTAAAAGTGAGAACTTGGGTTTTGATTTCTGTCACTGATCTGCCTTGGGAGGTTGTGGAACAATGCTTTATAAAATCAGCTTTCATGATAAATCTAAACATTTCATTTTAGTTGAGAATGATTCTCTTAAATCTTAATACTTAGGCATTTTGTACTGGGATTTTTTGTCTTTAATTAACTCTTACTTCACTGTAGCTAGGATTTGAGAATTAGAATTCTAAGATGTTGCACAGAACTTCGAAATTGAATTAATTCTTATTCATTAGCAGAAAAAAAAGTGGTAGGTGATGCAAACCATGATGGTCATACAAACTGTAGAGAAGAACTGGACAGTGTTATTGAGAGAAACCAAGGTGGGACTGCTGTTACAGAGGAGGAGAGATCAGAGTCCTGTTTTCCAGTGGATAACATAATGGAGAGAGAAAGTGATGTCAATATATGCAGGTAATGTTTACAATTGAAAGCTTAGACAAAACGAAAAATAATTCAAAGCTTTAATATTGATTTTATTTATCCATGCTTATGATCATGCTGACTGGCACAGAACAGGCAGGTTTTGGGTTTTTGAGGACTGTCTGGAGTTTATAGTAAGCTGTTTTTAATTTATGCTCTCAGTATATTCTCTGCCCTGATGGGCTGCCCTTGCAAAATCAATTTACATTAATACTAAAATCCCATCCAAAACTGCTTTCGCTTTCTTTTTAGGGTGTTCACGAAGGCTATTGGCTTATCCTAACTCCTCTAATATTTCTCTCAAAGCAGTGCTTCATAGTGTTGCTAAGTAGTGTTGCTATGCACTTGGAATTTATGTCTGTTTTTAATAAGATGATTCTTGTGGGAAAGGAAAGTTGCTTGGACTTTATTTGTGCGGAACTTCGGTGGGAGGCAAGCTTTTGATTTCATTTTTGAGCATTCTTTTAAAGGAATGCTCAAAAATGGAAAAGTCCTACAACTAGGAAAAAGTCCTAAAACTAGAAGAAAAGTGAATGTTTGATTTATTGAACTTGTTACATTAGAACGTGGTAAAACTAAAAAGTCATTATGAAACTAGTGCTACTTCAGAATTTTGTGTGTTAATTGTTGTACTTGGCCGTATTGTAATCGTTTGTTATTTCATAGAGATTCACAGAAACTTTTGGGTGCTTTAATACCTCATTGGAAGCATTCAAATGAACAGTGTTTATCTTTGAACTCAATGTACACTGTTACAGAAGATCACGGAAAAACAGTCTTCTGCGTATGAAGTCTGTTTTAAAAAACCTATCTAGTCTAGAATATTCAGATGGGATTTTAACATCTTGTAATAGCATTGCAAAAGTACAGAAGTTGTTTTAAAGCTCGTATCCTGCAAATATCACTAAAAATCTTCAGATTCTCTGAAATACATGTCGTTGTTCAATGTCTCAATTGTATAAATTTTCTGTGCAACTTGGTCAATTTGTAAACAATAATAGCTTTTTTTATTAAAATATTCTAATACAATGTTTTTTGTGTGCTTTTTTCTCCATTTCAGCTTTGAAGATAGCAATGATGTTATAATAGAAATGAAATCTACTGAACTGGGAACCCTAGATGTTAGAGATAATACATCACAGGAAGGTCAGATTTCAGAGTTACCAGTTTCAAAGATTAGAAGCAGAGAAAGACAATCTGAAGAAACTAGCGAAACAAAGGTATTTTTATTTTTATATAGTTCTTACTTCTTAAGATCTTCCTCTTTATCATTAAAAGCATTTTTATAAATCAAAGCCATTTTTCAGTTCTCTTTGTGATATTTTACCACTAAGTGGAAAAAAGGCAACAAGCCTGAGAACATCAGCAAAATTTAAGTACTATGAATTTGGCTGGCTTTAATGGGTTGTCTGTTATATTAAGTTTATTCCAGGAGTATACCGTACATGCCTGGTGTATCTCGTAGACAATTTGAACAGCTGAACAGTTTAATTATTCAGAAGTGAAGCAGTACAACATCAACAGTAAAACCTTGGAGCAAGATTTTGCTGCTGTGTGCTTACTAGCACGATGTTAGAAACTGATTTGAGCAGTATGAGCACTGGGTTGTTTGTGCTGCGTAAGAGTGGAAACCTGTGTAAACTCATGCCCACTGCTACTGACTGCCATGAGATGTTTCAGGAAAGGTACAAGAACCTGGACTAAGATTGAATGATCTTTCTTCAGGTTCTAATCAGGTCCAGCAGTTTAGAAACTTCCTGAAATTGCATCTAGCTTCTTTGAAGCTCTTGGTGCACTTCTTACTCAGGAGTTTGTTTAGCTGCTTTTTTGCATCTCTCTTCCTTCGTGATGAATTCAGTGCTCCAGCTAAGAGTTCATTCCTTTAATTACTTAATAAAGGAAGTGTATTCTTTGGGTTGTTTTAAGTCTGGTGCCTGGTAGTTTAATATGCGCTATATTTCTGTTGTTATGTTCCTGTTGATTTTTGATGTTCCTGTTCATCTTCTCCAAGCTATTCTTATTTATATTGCTACTTTTTCCTCCCTCCAGCAATATTGTTTTCAAGCTGAAGAGTCCTAGTCTTATATTTCTCCTCACATAGAGGCAGTTCCATTCATCTGATTATCCTTCTATCCTTGCATCATTGTCATTTTTGGAGCTTATACCATACTGTGTAAAGACTTGTGCTAAAGGGGAATCAGTTGCTTTATAAAGTGAAGAATGATCTTATGGCTAAAGTTTGCAGTGAGAGATTAGGAAATTCTAAGTGTTAGTGTTTCCATAATGTGACAGGCAAATTATTTGTCCATCGGCCTTTACCTTAGATTCTGTTGCCTAAAATAATGTCTTCATCTTAATGGAAAATCATCTGCTTAGGAACTTCGCAAATACTAAATGCCCGTAGTTGGAAATGTTGTAACAGTACAACCTCCTGATATTAGTTGAAATAATATTTATAAAAATCAATGAACTGAACATGGCACTGTGCTATATATAACAGCTTATAATAGCAATGTGTCTGCATTTAGCCCGTATCCGGAGCTAAACAATAGCCAGCTGTTCTGTTACCCAGTGACCCATGCCCACTCCAGAAGTGGAATCAGGAAAAGGAAGGAAGACACGTGTGATAAGAACTGCTTAATAATTGAAATAAAATAAAATGAAAAATAATGATGATAATAATAATAATGTATACAGACAAATATGTATAGTGCGGTTGCTCACCACCTATTGACCAATGTCTAGCCCATTCCTGGCTAGCAGTCCAGGAGCAGGAAGATCCTGAAACCACAATCCTGGAAGAGAGGGAGTAGGCCTCAGGAGCAGAATGACAGGCGAGATCCTCCAGAGACGGTGACCACTGAGAAAGAGAGACAACACACTTTCCAATTTATAGTGAGCATGACATTACATAGTATGGAATACCTATTTGCCAATTTAGGTGTCAGTCTCCCTGGCCACACTCCCTCCAGGTTCTTGGATATCTGGGTTGTTAGCAAAAACAAGTTGAAAAGTCCTGAAGCACTATGAGTACCACAGCTGGCTACAGATTAAGACAAAGTCTTACCAACTTTGTTCTCACCAAATCAAATGCTGCGGTCTTCTTAAAAATGCAGCTTACTTTAGAAACATAGCTTTTCTGAACAGAAGATTGGTTCTATGGTTCTATCCCAGCGAAACCAGGATATGGTGTCAGTAGCCTGTGTAGCTAGTATCTCTGGCTGCTTAATTATGGCTGTTTGACAGGAGAAAAAGGCACTATAATCTCTAAAACTGGTAATTTCCAAAGATCTTTTATGTCAGTACTAATTCTCTTGCCTTACTGTGGTTAATTTACTTCAAAAGTATGTGAACATAATCACTGACCTAAAACTAGAAATACTCAGCCAACCAGTGATGGTGAAATAGGATTCTATTAATATTATTAAAGAGGTAAATAAAGTAGGGAAATAATGTTTTTATGCTATAGGCTTTTACCTTAATTCACCAAATAGATTCCATAAAATTTTTGCTGTGATTGTGATTAGTTTGCTATACTGTCAAATTCTTTTTTCATTTTCAGAGTGATGGCCAGTGCTCTGTAAGAAAATGATTTAAATACTAAACCTGGAAAGTGATGATAGCTGATACTGCCTAAGGAGTATGTTATCAGCTTCATACAATTAAAAGACAAAGAAATGGGCTGGCAGGAATCTGATGAACTTCAGCAAGGGGAAGTGCAAAGTCCTGCACCTGGGGAGGAACACCCAAGGCACCAGTACATGTCGGGGGCCATTTAGATGGAAAGCAGCTTTGCAGAAAGAACCTGGGCGTCCTGGTGGACGCCAGGTTGAACATGAGCCAACCATGTGTCCTGGCTGCAAAAAGAAAGGCTAATGGTGTCCTGGGCTGCATTAGAAGAAGCATTGCCAGCACATTGAGGGAGGTGATCCTTCCCCATATTCAGTACTGATGAGGTCACACCCAGATTACTGTGATCAGTTCTGAGCTCCCAAATATGAGACACATGGACATACTGGAGATAGCCTGTCAAAAGGCCATGAAGACAGTGAAGAAACTGAAGTGTCGCTCCTATGATGAAAAGCTGAAAAGAGTGGGGACAGTTCAGCCTGGAGAAAGACAAGGCTCAGGGGATCTCTGCAGTATCTGTATAGAAACCTAAAGGGAGGGTGCAAAGAGGACAAAGCCAGGCTCTTTGCAGGGGCCCCCAGTGACAGGACAAGAGGCAGTGGGCACACAATGAAACACAGGAGGTTCCTTCTGAACATCAGGGAATACTTTTTCACTGTGAAGGTGACCAAGCACTGGCACAGGTACCCAGAGAGAACGTGGAGTTTCCATCCTTGGCAGTATTTGAAAGCTGTCTGGACATGGTCCTGGGCACCCAGCTCTAGCTGATCCTGCTTGAGCAGGGAGTTGGACCAAATAACCTCTGGAGGTCTCTTCCAACCTGTCTTCTGTGAATCTTGTTTCTACTTTTCTGTACATTAGTGCAAAGAGTTCTGCTACTACAACTTTTTTTTTTTTTTCCTTGCTCAGAACAAAGACATACATGACTTACATAGACCAGATGAAAAGCAGGGTGCAGTGGAAAGTGATTCTCAGTCTGAAATCATGTAAGTAAAATTATTTTACCTTGCAATGCTACTGGAGCTAAACCTATGTTTACTTAATTTGGATATAATTCTGATTGACCACAGTAGGTTGAACTAGATAGTAGATCATGATAACTTTTTTTCCCATATTCAGTGAAGTTTTTTTGATAGGAATTAGGATCACTGAGAAGCAATGCTTTGACTAAGATTTAAATGTTTACATGGGAACAAGGAGGCTTAACTAAACTTAGAAAAAAGATAGCCCTCCTCTACAGGAGGCTTTGAGCAACCTGGTATAGTGGAGGGTGTTCCTGCCCATGGCAGGGGAGTTGGAACTAGATGATCTTTGAGGTCCCTTCCAACCCTAACCATTCAGTGATTCTGTGATTCTATGATTCTATGTACAAAGTTTACCCAACACTCGATTTTTGGGGAAAAGCACAACAGTATTTATTGTTCTGTCATAGCCTTGCAAAAAGCAGTTACTAGCGTTTTATTTTCCCTTTCTGAGAGTCTTACCATCCTGACTACGCCCGAGACTCTGCCGAGCAGGAGGGTGTCAATTAGCGGGGTCATCACAGAGAAGGGAGGTAGGCACTTCAGGGCATCCCCTGTCTGTTCGTAGAGTGTGCTCTGTAGCTTCCCCCTCTCTCTGTTCTGAGCTGCCTTTTTTACGCCTTCAACAGAGTCAGTGGAAGGGTACTGATGAGGCATTGCTGCGCACGTGGCCAGCTCCCTTTCTCCAGGTTACGTTCTCACAGCTGAGTCCAGGTTGTAATTGTATTTGTTAAATAACAGTGCTCCCAATTCCTTTTCTCACAGCTGAGTCCAGTTAGTAATTTTCCGTCATGGCCCTATACAGACTGTCGTCTAAAATCCCTAACACACAATTTCTTACACTTATTGCTGTAACTGAGCAGAGATGTTTAAACAGGTCTGTGCCTAAGGTTTCCATTTTTGTGTGGTCAGCGACTTCCTATTCTATGATACAACATTTTAAAGATGATTTAGGGATGGGCTGCTAGTTAATTCTAAATCGATTTTTGTGCTTCTGTCTTTCCTTCGCTGAAGGGCAGCTCAGTCTTATGGTAAAGAATGTCAAAGCTTTATTTGTCCTGTCCTAGGAAGAATATAAGAAAAGGCAGTAGTTTCCAGTCTGAAGGTTATTGATAAGCTGTAGGGCTCTGTCAAAGCATGTGAATGGTTAAGGACGCAGAGATTGATGTATGTACTGCATTCTTCAATGATGTATGGATGTTGAAAGCCGGACAAGGTGTTTGAAAGCAGCAGTTCACAGTTCTGTGAGGGGATAACTTTGAAATGGGTTGGAGGTACAGGAGAGGCAGATGCAAGATTTTGTGTTTCAGGTAAATCTGCTCTACTTTGAAGCAAATTTCTGTTGTTTCTATTGAAATCAGTAAGCCTGTTCACACTGACATCTATGTGAGTTCCTCAGAGAAGAGGTATTCTGATTTATTTAACAGCAAGAAACACTTTCTTCAGATATTTTTAAGTAGATTCCACTGAAAGCCAGCAAAGTTGGTAAGGTGTATCTGACATTCTTTGCATTAAGTAGAATCATGGAATGGTTAGGGTTGGAAGCGATCTCAAAGGTCATCTAGTTCCAGCCCCCCTGCCATGGGCAGGGAAACCCTCCACTATACCAGGTTGCTCAAAGCCTCATCCAGCCTGGCCTTGAGCACTTCCAGGGATGGGGCATCTACAATTTCTCTGGGCAACCTGTTTCAGTGCCTCACCACCCTCTGAGTGAAAAATTTCTTTCTTATATCCAATCTAAATCTGCCCTCTTTCAGTTTAAAGCCATTGCCCCTTGTCATGTCACTACATGCCCTTGTAAAAAGTCCCTCTCCGGCTTTACTGTAGGCCCCCTTTAAGTAGCAGCATGTCTTGTCATATGAGGAAGATGTAATGTGATTTTTTTCAGTTTATTGTCTTGCTGCATTGCCCATGCAGCCTGCGGTGCTTTGAAATACATCTTGGACCATATAAGATTTCAAGTTTGTCTTTGGTAATAATGGTCTTTTTATATCTTAAGGAAAACTGAAAAGCCAGCAGACAAAGGGCAATTGCAAAGACCTAAACCCAATTTAGTGAGATCATCTGCAAGGAGAGAAGCAGCAACTCAAGAGGAAATGGAGCCTGAAACTTCCTCTCCAGACCTTGTGAATACAAATGAAAAGGTCAGAAGGAGGAATGCTGCTTAATATGCTATGCTTTTGATGCTGTATCCGTTTTGACCATGCTGATACAGTGAACTAGCTGAAGTGTAATAAGTAGTATTCTGAGAACTGCCTCTGAGGTGTTTGTGTCCTTGTCCAAAAGTAATATTCGTTGTGTCAATTCCAGTGCTCTGAGGAAGACAGTAGAAGAAACAGAAATGAAGCCACAGAAGTAGAGAACACAGATTTGAATACTAAATCTGAGTAAGTATTGAAATCACTTTTCCAGTCTCCTGGAATTAACGGACTACAGTTGTTAATTTATTCTCTATAGCGCTGTTATAAAAAGACAACAGTAATTGTGAAGTTTAAATATAAATCTCAAATTTGACTTTGGCATTTTCTTGGATGATATCAAGTGATCCTATAGTAGAAGGCACATACATCTTTTCTGGGAAGTTGAGGAAAGCATTACTTTATGAAGTACCATCTATACTTGGAGTTTGGGGAGGGGAAGGGAGGGAAGTGATAACTATGGCTTTGCTTTCGTCCCACCCTCAGTTACCAGCTAATGGCTCTGCTTCTGACACTTGCAGAAGCAGCTATGGTCTGCAGTCTAGTGAGGTGGTTCTTCTGTGTGATAACTTCATATCCTTTTAATAGGTAGATAAATTGAGTTTCCACACTCTGTAAGACTAAACAAAGTTTAGTTCTCATGTGAAGATACTTGCATAAGTTTGTGCAAATCCTTCTGAAGACAACCCAATTCCAGTAAAGCAAGCTGTGCAAGTCATTGAATATTACATAGGCCTGAATATTATGGAGTAAATGTCACTGTTGTGGATACTTTGTGCAGAGAACCTGAAAAAACTGTAATTGCAAAGGCAATAGTTAGAGGATGTCGACAGAGATTTAAGCCTAATGTTACAAGAGCTTCTGGAAGGAAAGAAGAGCATGGAAAAGATGCAGGAAATGATAAAATGCCCCATCCACAGCCAAAGGGAGAAACCAAAAAGGTATTTATAATAGAGTAAGGTAGGTGAAGATAATGCGTTAGCTAAAAAGCTACTGGATGCAACAGCAATGTTATCTTTTTGGGGTTGGGGTTTTTTTTTTGTTCATTTCTTTCCTTTTTTTCCCCTGGGTATGACCAGGAGTCAGCCACTTATTAACTTGCAGTGACAGTGTGACGTCACTTAGAGGCCTCAGCTAAGCTGGGAGCTTGTCACACAAACAATAGGTGCCAATAATCTTTCAAGTCCTGCAGAGAATACAGCTTTAGTTGTTTCGTCTAGATTTTACTGCACCTTTTTGGCTATGTGAAATGTACTCTATAATTGCTTGTGTCTGTCATAAGTAATCCATTTTGTATCCTGTTGTGGACAGTTACCTGGTCTGTTAGGTATTGCTGTACTTCATAAATGGGAGAGACTTAATGTCTTAATGTTCTATTTCTATTCAGAATCCTGACCAAAGTAATCGGTCTGATGCTACCAGTGAAGAAGCTGCAGAAAAAGATGATAAAGTCCTGGAAACAGTGTCTCAGTAAGTATGTGCAAAACGAGAAGATACATGCTGCTCTCTAGCAATTCGCCATCCTGCTCACTTCTGTTAGTATTACATAGCATGGTAATTTTAGAAGTTTCTGAAGAAACTGTCGTGGGTTAGGTTGAAAACTCCCCACACACACACAGCTGGTCACTCCCCCTTCCCCACCCCCAGGAATGAGGGAGAGAATTAAAGGATAAACGGGAAACCCATGGGTTGAGATAAGAATGATTTAATACAGATGATTTAATACACAGTGTAGATGCTCACCACCCCCTCGTATGCGAAGCCCGTCTCGTCCCGAAGCTGCAATCCCAGACGAACGCGAGGCCCCGAAATAGAGAGGGGCAGAGAGAGAGAGAAAGGAAAGAAAAACAACAGAGCAACAGCGCAGCAAGCGCAAAAGAGCCAAAGCGCAAAAGCCCTTCTTCCCGGCTGACCCTCACTTTTATACTGGGCATGACGCTGCATGATATGGAATACTAATTGGCCAGTTTGGCCCTCAATCTTAAGTTCCACCACAAATCACAAGGGGAATCGTGTCCCCCTTGTCCCACCATGTTCCTGCACTCCGGCACACTGAAAAGTCCTTGGAGTTTCACTTCCAACCACAAACATCAGCTTGCTATCAACATTCTTCTCAGAGTGAGCCTCTGAGTAAAACCAAAACATGGAGCTCTTCTGGCTGTTAAAAACTCTGTCCCAGCTAAAACTAGGACAGAAACTTATGCAATGAGGCAGAGGTTCAGGGAAGAATAGGAATCTTCTTTTAATGCATGAAACAAACAGATTAAATGGTTTTGTTTTTAAAGCAGTGCTTTTAAATTAGATGTAAGTGATGATAAATGCGGAAAAACCCTGAAAATTTAGTCTCTTGAAAACTCAAAACAAGCCTTCGCTAGCTTTAATACTGAAATGCATCTTTTTCAGTGGTAGAAAGTGTTAAAGATAAAAACTATAAGAATAAGAATTTGTTCTTAAAGTGTAGTGTCCTGGTTTTCGCTGGAGTGGGGTTAGTTTTTCTTTTGAGCAGCTGGAATAGCTCTGTGTTTTTGATTTAGTCAGATCTGCTGCGAGAAGAATGTTGATAGTGCACTGATATTTATAGTTGGTGCTGAGACATCAAGGACTTTTCAATTTCCCATGTTTTGCCAGTGTGCAGGAGCACAACAGATTACGGGGGAGCATGACTGGGATAGAGGGCCCACAACTCCTCTTCTGATTTGAACTTAGACTTAGGATTGAGGGCCAAATTGGCCAATGAGGTATTCCATATTGTGCAATATCATGCCCAACATATAGAAGAGGGTTGACTGGGAAGTTTGGAATTTTCTTCTGAGAGCACTCGTGGTCTCTCGGAGTTCTGTCTCTCTCTCGCTCTCTTTTTGGGCCTCTTGCTCATCCAGGATTGTGAGATCGGGACTTATCTGTTTCAGGATCACTTGTCAGGACAGGACAGGCATTGGTCACAGAGTGGTGAGCAGTTATATTGTGCATCACTTGTTTGTAAATTATCATATATTCATTTTTTAAATTCTCATTATTATTTTATCACTATTACTTTTATTTTTATATTATGATTATTAAGTTGTTCTTACCTCAACCCACGAGTTTCCCCTCTGTTTTCTCCTTTAATTCTCTTTCCCGTTCCCCAGGAGTTGGACAGAGTGAGTGAGCAGCTGTGTGGGATTTAGTTGCCGGCTGGGTTAAACCATGGCATGTAGTTAAGTGTTAGGTGTCTGGTATTAGGGAAAAAAATTCCAATGTGGAGGCAATTTAATGCACATATTAATGAAGAAGTGTTTCTTGTATTTCTCTTCGGTGGAGAAATGGCAGCTGTTGTGTAAAAGGAGGAATATGTTTTACTGGAGAGTTTATTTAAAAAAAACAAAAACAAACCACACAGAACAACCAAAGAAGCCACTCCCCCAAAAAAACTAAAACAAAACTAAAGCAAAGCAACAGCAGCAACAAAAAAACCCAAAACATGAAAGTTTTATTTTTAAAGGGGGATAGTTGAAGAGGATGGAGGGAGGTAAACTGGGTTTGATAATCTGTCCGAAAAACACCTTAGCAGTTATTTCTTTCATTAACATACTGTGTAACTTAGTGCTTAGGGTAAAAGGCTTAGAAGTAACTAATAGTTGTAGTAACATGCATCTGATATTTTTAAGTTAGTAAGATTATGAAGTTATTTATGTATTTTCTGAATGTTTATGGTTTTTAACCCTTCATTAAATTAGGTCCATCTGCTTCTAGACCAGATAGGAATACAAGAAGAGCCATAATGGGTCAGAAAAAAGTCTGTCTAGTATGGTATCCTGTCTCCAGTGGGAAGAGAAAAAAGAACAGGGCAAACATAAGTTTAAACTTGTCAGGTACTTTTTCAGACTCTAGCAGATAAACTTCTACCTTTATTATTTCATAAAGTTAGTAATGCATAGCTCCATTTTAGATAAGCGTACGTTAATAACTGTTTGGGAAAAAAAAAAAAACAAACACACTCCTCCAAGAATCTGCCTACTTTCAAATGGGGTTTGTACTTACGGATCTTTTGTATTTTTTCAGGTCTAATGAAACAGCTGGTTTACAAGACGACAGCAAACAGAGTGTTCTTAAATCAGCACCTCTAAAGAGAGGCAGAATGCAGAGACCAAAACCAAATCTAGGAAGAACTGTTGCAAGGCAAAAAGACCTGATAGAAGAAAAAGATCCTGAAGAGAAGACTGAAGGTGGAGAAGTACAGAAAGGTGTGATACACCTTAGAGATGAAAACAATGATCAATGCCTGAAAAATGTAAGTTTCTTGAGCCGTTGATTAGGCACACTGTTTTGTTGGATCCTGAGTAGAAGCCTGTATTTAAAAAGATCTAGCTACATATCACGTAGTTTGTAAGCATAACCTTTGCATGCTTTGTTTATTCTTTCAGGATAAACTGAATTGTCGCAGAATTTCCTCATGCTTGCTCTTGGGTTCTGTTTCCTGTGGATAAATGGATTTTGTCTCACTTTGTTGTATTTGTGTTACCAGATCTGAAAAGAGAAGTGCAGAGAAAAAAGGTCTCTTGGAAAAGAGACCACTTCAGATAGAAATTATACAGAAAAATAAAAAATTTTTACAGGAAGCAAGAGAGATGTTTTGAGTGTTTTTGTAAGAGATACTAAAATGTACTTTTTCTTTTCCCCTTGCTCTTTTAAAAGAGAGATCGAGCAAATTTTTTATCTTAATAGAGTAAAACTTTTTTTTTTTTTTTTTTTTAGAATGTGACAGTTCATGAAGACACTCAGCCATGCAATGTGTTGTTAGAAGGACATGTTTCTACAGATTCTGAGATGAATTCAATACATACAAGGCAGTGTTCCCACAAGAAGTCCTCAGAAGCAGAAAGTTGTGGAAGTGAAAAGGGATTGTCAGATGTCTTGAAACAGGTTTCAGATTTCAATACAGGGTAAGATTATTTTTTAAATGGAGAGAAGGGATGGTTCAAAACCATCAATGTCTCTAGGTATTCTACACTTCTGCATTCAACTCCAGCATTAAAAACAGGTTTTATACATATAATGAGATGTTTAATCAAGACAATACTAGACTTAACTACACAATACCCCAAGAGCTCGAATGCACTAAATTTATATATTGTTGGATGTTAATTTGGTCTTTAGACTGTAAGCCCAGTTTTCAAATAAATACATTTTTCTGATGCTTAGTTCCTGTGGTTACCTTCTCCATGTTTGTCCTAACAGTGTGCATCCCTATGTACTTATGTAAATTGTTGAGTATAGGATTTGGTTTCCAATTAAAGCGTACCTTAAAAAAAACCAACTGTGATGTAAATCTACTGGTAGTTTTTAACATGACTAGACAAAGGCATTTGTAAAATATTTATATTCCTCTCGATGTGTGACTGGAAGTTGCAGTTATACTGAAGTGGCATCTTTTTTTTAACTTATCTTTGCTCACCTGTTTATAAGATACACAGGTTTTTCATAAAGTTCCATGAGCTTTTTTGGATCTTTTTTCACAATGCGTGTAACTTTGTTACTGCTCTAAGAAAGCTAAGGATTTTTGTACTTAGCTATTGTATTGAAGAGAGCTACCTACAAATACGACATGCATGATGGCGAACCACTGTTGTCCCATGCCTTCAGTTGTTCTCTTGTTTGTTTTTGTAGAGAGTCTGGTCTTCAGAAGGAAGAGGAAAAAACTGTTGCATCATCTTCTCGGCTACTGAGGGGCCGATTCCAGAGACCAAAGCCAAATTTAAGAATGACAACTAGTAGAAAGGAAGTGCTGGATGTAAATAATAAAGGTGTATCACAGAAAGATACCAACAAGGAAGAAAGTTTGACACAGTGTGATAATGAATGTAACATCCTTCCTGATATGGATGTAAGACTTTTTTTTTTTTTTTGTCATTAGTTCTATTTGAGGTGTTGGGTTTGTGAAATGAAATACTGATGATTTAAAAAATGCAAAATTAATCTTTTTTGAAACAATATTTTCAAAAGCTAAAATTTTTTACATGAAAATTCATGCGCTTCTCACTTGGTTGTATGTGAGAGGAAAAAGATTACATCTATTCTGTATCTCTTGCTAGGTGTCCAGATGTATTTCTGATTTGAGGTGGTTTGTAGAGTTGACAGTGAAGAAAGGAAAGTATTAATAGAACTTGGCAAAGACGAAATCTAGACTTCAAGCTATTTTGTTTAAAAGAAACAAATGTGTGTTTGTCCTGGAAAGACTAGGAAGTTATTAGTGAGCCATTACAGAGAGGTTTTTGCAGGAAACACTTCAGAGTGATGAGTACCAAGCTTCGTGGACATCATAGTGTCTCCTTTTGGTTTAGTGTCATGATCTTTTCTCATTCTTGTGTTTACATTTTTCAGAAAGCAGGAAAAGATGAAGTCCTGCAGCCATTGGAATCCTTAGGAATGGAGAAGTCACTTGGCTCTCAGGAGGTTTCTGAGAGGCCAAGTTGTAAGTCCCCAAAGACATTTTCAAGATCAGAGGATGGTGCACTCAAGTTTTGTTTACCTGAAATTAACCAAGATGACACCTCAATGACTAATACAGAGTAAGGGCTTAGCTACTTTTGTTTCTTGACTGTAACAATGAAAGTATTTTAAAAGGAAATCATTGTGCAAATGGATTGCTAACTAGCAAAGAAAAGATAATAAAAATACTGAACAAAATCTCAGTTCTTATAGTTTTGACACTAGTGATACTAAAATTCCAGTTACTTCTATGCTAAGGATTAAATTAATGAGCATTTTTTTTACAACTGTTTCGTCATCTGAAACACTATATTCATTTAATGTAAGCAGAGGAATACAGATTTGCTTATTGGAGAAATCATGTGAAAACTACTTTGGCTTCATAGTAATAAGCAGATGGTAAGTTAATGCCTTCAATGAGTTAGTTAATTCTGTTGTGGAAGTAGTTAGGAGACAAGTGCTTTGTAATTTTTGCTGAAACAAAGCTTTGTGTTTGTAACTTTAACTCAGCAGAACTTTATGTTTACATGGTTTCTTTTAAAAACTCAATTGTTTTTTTATGTTAATGTAATGAACCTGTGTTTATTAATGACATGCTTATATATAAAGTTTCTAATTTTTTGTGTGTGTGTGTCTGATTCAGCATTGACAGCAAAAATATCACTGAAGAAGAAAGTAAACAAACACCTATTCAACCTGTCCAGGTAGTGTGGAGCAGATTCCAGAGGTACAAGCCAAACTTGGGAAGAGCTGTTGGAAAGAAGAAATTACAAATATCAGAAAATGAGAGGGAGAAAAAGCCTGAAGCAGAGCAGTTGGTGTTGCAAAAAGATGAGTCTGCCAATACTGCCATCGTAAGTTTTAATAAGAATAAGCACTTTGTCTTCAAAAGTATGGTTCCAAGTTGCATATTCTATTTTATAAAGTTAAATTAGAACATTTAAGTTGCATTCTCTGAAGCTGAGACACCATACTAGATGAAAAAAAATCTCCAAACTCTGGTATGTTGAGATATTGCAGGTATGAAATCAGTAGAGCCTACAACTTGTACTATTAATGTTTTCTGGAAAATAACGATCTGATTTTGATTGGATTACTTGATAGAAAAAAAAAGATTATGCATATTTAAGGTAAACTCCAGAGTGAAAATGTATTTTACATTGCAATACAAAAAAATTAGCGTTTTTGCTCATTTTATCTTTTCTGTTTGGATAATCAAGTCTGTCTTGAGGAATCTAGTGTGGAGTATCAAAAGAAGGCAAAATATAGCTATTTTTCTGTAAAAAAAAATAAATAACGTCTTACTAATTTGGTAAACTTTGACTGGCTTCACCACTACAGTGCCTGACATCCATTCCTCTACTTTACACAACTAAATTGAGTCATTCACCTGCATCCTGTATCCCCACAGACACTTTGCTAGGCTCTGTAAAAGGTATTGAAATCCTCGAAAGCCATAATAGTATGATGAACTCTCTGTAACCATTTTGTGGATTGCTTATGAATGTTGTCATGGATGTAGGCATGAGTGTGTAGACTTGCCTTAGATCTCAAACATAGCTAAGCTGTGTAGGAGTGACTCATTTTTTGGAGTGATCATAGCTGGTTTTATTCTTGAACCTGTGCATGGTTAGCTGGGAGTGCTTGTGTGCTGTGTTCCCAGAGACGAGCATGAGTGCACTGCAGCTGTAGTCTCCCTCTCGGTGCCATGATGTCAGATCACCCTTCACTGAGATAGTTGCTTGCGGGTCAGCTTCAGCTGTTCCAGGCTTGTGACATGTGGGCCATGCACATGTATCTGCACTGTGCTGTGCAAATCTGTAGAACCACAGCAGGTCAGAAGCTCCTCTGTACGAGCGAAGCTGTCACAGACCTGGAGTGCTGAGGAATGTGTTTGAGTGACTTCTTTGTGGAACCAGTGTGGCAAACACAGAAGTAAAACTAAGAAGCCCTTCTGAATCTGAGATTATGTTATAGTGACTTGGATGTTTCTGTGCTGTGCTCTGCAGTATCCAGTTTTCAAAGGTTTTTCCATTTGCCAAAGTATTTTGTTTAGGTAGTGTTCCATGTAAGTGAGAGTCGATTGAATGCTAAATAGAAAATTGTTACCCATAATACTTAGGCTCTTAAATACTATATGCATCCAACTCTGCATAGCCCAGGACTAAGAAGACTTCTGCTCCTGCTTGCCTATGAAATGTATTATGTGCTTAGGCAGATTACCCTCGATAAATATGACATGATTCTTTTCTTGATTCAGATCGGGGAAATAACAGAGATCTGTAGTATTTTTTGTAATATCTGTAATATTTTTTTTTTTAATTGCACACAAAAGGGTGAAAATGAAGCTGAATTGCGTCAAGTGGATGTACTGAGCAAAGACGAACAGGAGCAGCAAGAGGCGCCTCAGGTGCCCTGTATTTCTGAAAACATATTCTGTGAACAAAGCAGGTGAGGTTAGAGTTTAGCAAAATTACATCTGAAAAACTTTCATCTGGTGCATAATGAGAGACTTTTGTAAGTGTCAATTCTTTTGTTCCTTGTTACCTGTCTTTCTCCAATGTTTAATTTTCAATGCCATGTTGGTTTTTTTTTCTTGCCATGTTTTCAGAGCACGTTTTTAGTTGAGCTGGACTACTTGTCATTGTTTATCTGGTACATACTTGATCTATATGAGCTCATAGCTCTTTTTGACCAAGCTTTTCTTTTATTAGATTTGTATTTGCATATACAGTGATTATACATATAACAGATATAAATTTTGCAAAATGTCAGAGATTTGTCTTTCATTAATCCCAGTGTGCTCTTCTATTTTACTGTTTTTCTTAAAATAAGATCTTGAGCATGCATTAGTCTGCAGATACTTTGATGTTGGTATGATTAGCAACACAACTCTTTTCTTGATGTTAAAAATGCCCTGACAAAGAAATCTTGTTATTGCTTCTCACGTGTTAACCATAAGTGCCCAAAATAAGAAATATGTATTTGAAGAGAGAGTTTTCTTGATTTTAAACAAAACAGTGTATCTGTCTCTAAGCCTCTTGTATAAGTGTTGATTCGAAATTTAATGAATGAAGAATTACTTTTTTTCCCCTCCCAGCCAAAGTGAAGTGACATAATTTTGGGTTAATTTGTTTGTTTGTTTTGTGTTTGCTTTAAATTCACTAGTGCTGAAAAATCCACTTCCCAAGAAGGCAAGCCGAGTGCTCTGCAGCCAGGACAATTCATAAGGAATGGATCTCCAAGATCTAGACCAAACCTAGAAAGAGCATATAGTGAAAAAGAATCTCCAGTGGCACAAAAACTTGCTGCTCCAGTTGAGGAAGCAGCAAATAAAGGAGAGAATCTGCCTTTGACAGAAGAATGTGAGGAACCTCTTTCCTCAAAAGTGAGAATTCTGTTCAGATATTTCTGACTATACTTTCTAATGCTTCGTTCTGCTTCAGCTGTTTTAAAAGCATCTAAATAAGCTGTTTTAAATGCATAAATTAATTTTGGACTAGTAAGAATTACATTCTTGATGAATATTCACAACCTAATAAGGTCTTCTAAAATTCTGTTAATGATGCATGGATAGTATATAGACTTCTGTTAACAAATCTAAAGAAGTCACTTAAACTTGAAATTTCAGTCATATTCGTGATACATGAATAGTTATAGTTACCTGCATGCCATATTTCTGTTGCTGGGTTTCTTCTGAACTCCTTGATGGTTGCTCATGAAAGACCATATTGGTTATATTTTCTGATTTTACTAGGTAAGTACCTTCTCTAAAGGAACAAGGAACAGTAGTGGATGCCATAAACTACTTGAAAGTTTTTAAAGAAAGTTTTGTCTCAGGTTAACATCTTCATCGTAACTTGTAATGCTTTATTTTACAGGTGATACATGTTATGCTAATATTGTTGTGTTTGGTTTTTTTTCTTAAATCTAAGGATGACGTGGAAGCATTGTTGTATGTGGGGATTTTGGCCAAGAATGACAATCTAGACATAAATCCAGGAAGTATGAAGTCAGAAACACTCAATTCCCTTAAAAAATCACATGACTGCCACAGCAAGGGAAAACAAGAAGAACATCTATCTACGGATGCTATGGGAAGCATTCAGCATACCATGGAAAGGTAAAGTTCCCTGTTGTAAAAAAGTAAAAGCTCTTTAAAAACTTTGTGTATTTGTCCAGTTGTTTTCATACAGCACTTGCTTTTTGAAGTATAGGCTCTGACCTGTAGTCTTGCAGTGCGCTACATGCTGTGAAGGTCACTAGGTGGCATCCTTAGGTAATGTAAGTGGTTTTAACAGAATTTTTCTCAGGGCTGTTTTCCTTTTTAGAAGGTATTTTGCAGGTGAGAGTAGAAGCAAGTAATCAGAGTTTAGCTGTCTGAATATCTCAGTAATACATTCTTAGGGTACAGTGCACTATGAATTTGGGCCGTTGAAAGGAAGACTAAGCAGTGCCATTTGCTCTCACTTATAATTGAGAAGTGGTAGGTAGAGTAACATAAAATGGGCTTGCTGTCTGAGGTGTATTATGAGTCTTTTCATTTTTCCTTTCCAGCGGAAGTTCATGCAACCAGGATGTGTCATGTCCTGGTTCTTTGGTGGAGGGGTGCTTTTTATGTATGTGCAATATAAGGCAGATAGTGCCATTTACATGTAACAGTTCTGGGTTGTGTTGTAAGCTACGTCTTGGTCAATCTTAACTGATACAGAGCAGCCTCAAATCAATTTACTTTTGCTGTTTCTAAAATCAGCTTCTAGTTCCTGTCTGTCTCTGAGCCTCTGCTTAAAATGTCTTCTGTAACTTACATTGAAATTGTATCCCCGAGTCTTTGTGCTAACAAGACAAAACACTTCACTTTACAATCTTCTTGGCTTCTGTGATGGTGGAATTTCACAGAACCACGGAATGGTTGAGGTTGGAAGGATCCATTGCTACTCGATGATCCAAATTTCTATAAAAAAAATGCCGAATATGGGAAAAAAGTTATCATGATCTACTATCTAGTTCAACCTACTGTGGTCAATCAGAATTATATCCAAATTAAGTAAACATAGGTTTAGCTCCAGTAGCATTGCAAGGTAAAATAATTTTACTTACATGATTTCAGACTGAGAATCACTTTCCACTGCACCCTGCTTTTCATCTGGTCTATGTAAGTCATGTACGTCTTTGTTCTGAGCAAGGAAAAAAAATGTTGTAGAAAAGAAATGATAAAGGTAGCAGAATTCTTTGCACTAATGCACAGAAAAGCAGAAACAAGATTCACAGAAGACTGAGGTTGGAAGAGACCTCCAGAGGTTATCTGGTCCAACTCCCTGCTCAAGCAGAATCAGCTAGAGCTGGTTGCCCAGGACCATGCCCAGACAGCTTTCAAATACTGCCAAGGATGGAAACTCCACGTTCTCTCTGGGTACCTGTGCCAGTGCTTGGTCACCCTCACAGTGAAAAAGTATTTCCTGATGTTCAGAAGGAACCTCCTGTGTTTCGTTTTGTGCCCATTGCCTCTTGTCCTGTCACTGGGCGCCACTGCAAAGAGCCTAGCTCCATCTATCTTTACACCTTCCTTTCAGGTATTTTATAAATGTTGATGAGATTTCCCTGCCTACTCCCACCAAGCCTTGTCTTTCTCCAGGCTGAACTGCCCCCACTCTTCAGCTTTTCATCATAGGAGAGATGCTTCTGTCCCTTCAGCTTTGACAGCCCTTTGCTGGACTCTATCCAGTATGTCCACGTCTCTCTTGTGACCAGTTCTGGGCACTCCAGTACAGTGCTCCAGCTGTGGCCTCACCAGCGCTGAATAGGGGTAAGGATCACCTCCCTCAGTCTGCTGGCAATGCTTCTCCTAATGCAGCCCAGAATACCATTAGCTTTCGTTGCTGCAGGGCACATTGCTGGCTCACGTTCATCTTTGTGTCCACCAGGATGCCCAGATGCTTTTCTGCAAAGCTGCTTTCCATCTGGGTGGCTCCCAGCACATACTGGTGCCTGGGGTTGTTCCTCCCCAGGTGCAGGACTCTGCACTTCCCATTGTTGAACTTTGTGAGGTTCCTGTCAGCCCATTTCTCCATCCTGTCCCTCTGGTTGGCAGCATGACCCTCTGGTATATCAGCCACTCCTCCCAGTTCTGCATCGTCTGTAAACTTGCTGAAGGTACACCCTGCCCCCATCATCCAGATCATGAATGAAGATAGAATTGGACACAGTATTGACCCATAATGTACACTCCTAGTTACTGGCCTCCAGCTAGGCTTTGTGCCACTGACCACCAACCTCTGAGCAGGGCCAATCAGTCAGTTTTCAGTGTACCTCCTTGTCTGCTCATCCAGCCCATACTTCATCTGCTCCGCTATGAGGGTGTAGGGGAGATGGTGTTAGAAGCCTTACTGATGTCAGAGCAGTAGATAGCGTCTACCCTCCTTTCTTCTGTTGAGGCAGTCATTTCTTTAAAAAGGTTATCAAGTTGGTTAAGCATGACTTCTCCATTCTAAATCCATGCTGACTACTCCAAGCAACCTTCCCGTTTTTCATGTGTTTGGAAGTGGTTTCCAGGATTAGTTGTTCCATCACTTTCCCAGGGCCAGAGATGAGGCTGACTGGTCTATAGTTCCCTGGATCCTCCTTCTTGCCCTTTCCCAAGATATGAGTTTAAAAGCCCAAGATTTCTATGTTACTGATCTGAATGTGCTTGAACAGATGTAAGAATTTCATCCTGTTTAAAAGCAGTGGTATCTTGAGCACTGGAATTAGTGAATATAATGTTCCTGTGATTGCTTAATTTTGGGGATCTATGGTGGTATCGCTGGAACTTTCGGTTGTTCCTGACTTCTTAATATTGTTTGGCTTCCAAAAGATTTTTCCAAAAGTAATCAGGAAGGTCCACTACTGCAAAAAAGCAAGGTATCTCCTTTTCACATTGTTTTGTTCTTCCTTTATGTTCTTTTAAACTTCACCAACTTAACAAATAAAAATGCAGAACACTTAAGTTCATTTCTAGCTGGGAACACTAAGTATTTAGTAGTAAGCCAAGCTTGTAGAGTGTGTTTTGTAGTTCCTGAGAAGTAAAAGCTGAAAAATATTTTTGCAGGTGCAATGATAAATTAAGTTCTGGAGAGGAAAGTGAACAAAGTGATACAAAACTTTTACATCAAGTGGGGCAACCCCACTGGAACCGAAAGCCAAACGTAATGAAAGTTACTAGGAAAAGAGATTATCCTGAAGAAGATGAAAAGAGAGAAGAGGACTATGCTGAGAACAGAAATGCACAAGAGTGTTTGGTGTTAGAAAAAACAGATATATCAAAGGTAAGTGCTGATCATATATTTTGAGCCAATTTATACCTCAGTTTTTGTGTTTAAGCTCTTAGAATCGTAAGTGGCACATCAATCCAGTATATGGCTGGGAAAGGTTAGGGTGACTCTTTCCTTATTTTTTTTAATTCACTATTGGAAATGATGCTGAATAAATGGACTTGGAATCTAAAAACTGTGAAAATATTTAATGTACACTGTTGTCTCAAGTTTTACAGTTTATATGGTCAGAAGTCTGCATTATCATAATACATGCTAACACCATTACCAGTTAATATAATGTCTGTTATTCATTAATGGAGATGAAGGCAGCTGTCTAATGTTAGATACTACCTAAAATCCATAGAAATATAAGTTGAAATGTATGTGAAAAAGTTCAGACCTTCTTCTGCTTAAATTCTCTCAACAGGCCTAACCTAGCCCAGACTAGTTCCTTCTCTGTCTGAAGTTGCAATACCTGAATCAAGTTTCTCTGATGTTCCTTGTTTTCTAGATAGATCACTAAAATCTTTCAGTTAACATATTATTTTAGCCAGGTATCCATAGTTGACAGTACTGTGCTTGCTGATGTTTTTTTATGTTCTGGGATATGTTTCTCTGTGTGTGTGTTTCTCTGTGTGTGTGTTAACTATCTGAATAATAGTTAAATGCTGTTCTGTAAACTATGGTAGTTTTTTCCTCCTAGTTTGTTCCCAGGGCAGAAAAAAAAGAATTTTTCTTTCTCTCAAATTGTTCTTTAAATGATTCATCTTTCCAGCTTCTGAAGAATTGCTGCTCTTGGTAAGTTGGTCTATTAACTAGCAGCAGCACTGGAAACACAGGCATCATAGATAATATCATCTAATGACTCTTCTGCTGTAGAGCCCAAAATTAAAGAAAATGGGGAAAAATGTCCTAAGCTATCAGAGATAACAGCTGGGCATGTTTTCAAGAACCTCAACCTTAGTTCTTTAAATCTTTTTGTCACCAAAACCAGTTAAAAATGTTTGGCACTTAATACAGTAGTAATTGTCTCCTCTGTTCAGCAAAACCCCAGTAACGTAGAGGAAGCTGCATCCTTCTCAGAGGCTACAAGAAAACACAATTTTACAGACTCTGCTGAAGAAATACCTTGTAAAAGAATCAGGCAGCATAGTAGACTCCAGGCTTCAGAGATATCATCAGAGTGTGAGAGTGAAGTAGAACAAGAAGATGATTCTCAGCTTTCTACCTCTCAGGAAAGAAATTCAGACAATCTCACAAGGTAAAACAACTAATTTTGGCTTGTAAGAACAATGGATTGGTTTTGGCTTTTGTTTTAAAAATGTAATTATAGGCATAGTTCTGCAGTGTGTTATGTGAGTGCATATAGGATTCCAGTCCTGTCTTCCATCTGAACTCTACCAGATGCACGCAGATAGCCCTATGTCTCTTACCCTGCTTGCACTCTTATAAAATGAACACAGCCAGCACTTCCACTAACCCATCCCAGGGTCCACTTTTGATTTGAACAGGAATTCCTGATTGTAAAGAGGAGGACTTTGAAATACCCATATTGGGGGCACAGGGTTTGTGGGATTAACCTAAACAGAAACTCTGTGCTGGAAGTGTCCTTTGCTGCTATTTGTTTCCCCTCCCCACCAGTTTACCAAGGAGGATGTTTTTTGGGGAAAGTTTGGAATTACTTTTGATACCCAAAGTGGTCATGCTCATCATTTTGAGGAGGGAGACAGTAAGCAGCTGATTATTGAAGAGGTTGCTGCCTGAGAAACCAGAGCAGATAATTAGTTATCATCTAACAGTTCTAGTTTCTAGACATTAGTCTGATGAACTGAAGTATCATAGTTTGGGGTTCTTAGTATATCTTTAGCAAAAGAGAACTGGAAATGTTCCCATGATGTAAAAAGCATGTGACTTCCACATCCCTCAAAATGAAAATTAATTCGTCCTTTTCTAATAAAAGAATTCTGTATCTTGTAAATTTAATTGTGCAGCTTGCCAACAGTCTGAAACTGCTTAGTACACATTTATAATCAGTACTTTGTGCGTTGTTGTGGTTTAACCTGGCCGGCAACTAAACGCCACACAGTGCTTGCTCAGCCAGACCAACTCCTGGGGAATGGGAAAGAGAATTAAAAGGGAAAATGGAAGGAGACTCGTGACTTGAGTTAAGAATGACTTAACAATCATAGTATAAAATGAAAAGTAATGATAAAATAATAATAATATATGAATATGTATATATGATTATAATAGTATATACAAACAAGTGATGCACAGTGTAATTCTTCACCACTCTGTGACCAACGCCTGTCCTGTGCCAGCAAGCTATCTTGAAACAAATAAGTCCCATCACTGCAATCCCAGACAAGTGAGAGGCCTGGAAGGAAAGTGAGATAGAGAAAGAACTTGGAGAGTCTGAGAGAGTACCTCCAGAAGAGAGAACGATCCCAACTTCCCGATCAACCCTCATTTATACACTGGGCATGACACTGCATGATATGGAGTACTCCATTGGCCACTGTGGCACTCAATCCTAAGTATACATTTGAATCAAAAGAGGAGTTGTGGGCCCTTTGTCCCGGCCATGCTTCCCCCAGGCCTGTTGTGCTTCTGCACACTGGTGAAACGTGGGCAGCTGAAAAGGCCTTCATGTCTCAGCACCAAGTGTAGACATCAGTGCACTCTCAACAGTTTTCTCATAACAAATCCCATGCTAAGTCCAAACCACAACGCTATTCTAGGTGCTAAAAAGAAAAACTAACTCCATCCCAGACAAAACCAGGACATGCATGCATGAAGAAATTAGAATTTCTGATTAAATGGTATATGAATGCATTTTTGACACGATACTTTACAAAGTAACTAGATTGTGTTGTTGGTCACAATTATCTGGTTTATTCATGGAGATTGTTTTGATTTGTGGTATCCCTTTTTTTGCAATGTCTTGAACTTCATTGCTTTTTAAACCTGCTTTTGTTCTATACTGTAGAAGTCAGTCCAGAAGGTCATCCAAAAGGACGGTGCTGCCAAAACATGTCTTGGAGCGAAGAACTGCTGCTTCTGCCTCTGAACATGAGGCTGATTGCAGTGAGAAAGCGAATCAAAGGCAAGAAGTTAAACTGAATGTTACTAGAGGCAAAAGTTGGAAAACTACACATAGAAAGAAAATTGAGAAGGAGTGCAGAAGTTCAAAGACAACCTTGGTGACCCTGCGGGCTTCTCAAGAGGAGGAGGAAGAAGATGAGGCAGATGACTTTGAGCCTGATGAGGAAGATCAATGCTTTGCACCGGAGGAAGTAAACAAAGCTCCAGTGTTTGTTCCTATAGGTCTTCGATCTCCAAAACCTGTTCCTGTTCAGATAGAGGAAACCATGGAGGAGGTATTATGTGGCTGGGTTCTGCATATGTACTTTTGCTTTGATTGTTTAAACAGCTTTTATTCCAGTTGCATTCTCTGACAACTTGGGTTTTATCACAATTTAGTTGAATTCATTAATAATGACGTTGAGAGTAGCAGGGCTGTTACTTGGCACAGGTACTTGGTTTTGAAGAAAATGCTACATCAGTCTAAAGTCCAGTTATGTTTACAAACTGTGTATAGATCTGCAGGGTGCTCACCAGTTCATTTATTGGAACTGCATGTAGGAACAGACTACCATGCTTACTATGTGTCTTGAGGCTCAAAATGGAACAACTGAAGCATTTCAATTTTTCATTTGAATGTTAGGAAATGAGGGAATGAAGGAGATGTTTCTGTACGTGGTGTCCCTCTCACCAAGAAACTTTAACTGTGTGATGGGCTGACCCTGACCAGCAGCCAGACACACACACAGCTGCTTGCTCATTCCCTTGTCCTGTGGGACAAGGAGAAAATAGGAGATGAGAAGACTTACGAATTGATGTAAAGACAGTTCAATAGGTGAAGCAAAAGCTGCATGTGAAAGCAAAGCAAAATAAGGAATTTATTGATTGCTAAAAATAAGGAATTTATTGCTTTCCAATGCTAGGCCACTTCTTGAAAAGCCAGGCCTCAGCCTGCGCAAGAGTTACTCTGCAAGACAAACGCCATAGCCACAGATGCCCTCCTCTTCCTTCTCCTTTCCCTGAGCTTTTGCTGCTGAACTGGCTGAAGGATAGAAGCCAGAGAGTAGTGGTCAATGGGACAGAGTCCAGTTGGAGGCCTGTATCCAGTGAAGTCCCTCAAGAGTCGGTACTGGGACCAGTATTGTTCAACATATTCATCAATGACTTGGATGAGAGAATAGAGTGCACGGTCAGCAAGTTTGCTGATGACACTAAACTGGGAGGAGTGGCTGACACACCCGAAGGCTGTGCTGCCATTCAGAGAGACCTGGGCAGGCTGGAGAGTTGGGCGGGGAGAAACTTAATGAAATACAACAAGGGCAAGTGTAAAGTCTTGCATCTGGGTAAGAACAACCCCATGTACCAGTACAAGTTGGGGACAGAACTGTTGGGGAACAGCACAGGGGAAAGGGACCTGGGGGTCGTGGTGGACAGCAGGATGACCATGAGCCAGCAATGTGCCCTTGTGGCCAAGAAGGCCAATGGCATCCTGGGCTGTATTAGAAGGGGTGTGGTTAGTAGGTCGAGAGAGGTTCTCCTCCCCCTCTACTCTGGCCTGGTGAGGCCACATCTGGAATATTGTGTCCAGTTCTGGGCCCCTCAGTTCAAGAAGGACAAGGAACTGCTTGAGAGAGTCCAGCGCAGGGCCTGGGAGTGCGAGCATCTCCCTTATGAGGGGAGTGGAGTATCTCCCTTATGAGGAAAGGCTGAGGGAGCTGGGTGTCTTTAGCTTGGAGAAGAGAAGACTGAGGGGGGACCTCATTAATGTATATAAATATGTAAAGGGTGACTGTCATGAGGAGGGAGCCAGGCTCTTCTCAGTGGCATCCAATGATAGGACAAGGGGAAATGGATATAAGCTGG